CCCACCCCACCCCAGCATGCTGATGCCCACCTCCCTCAGCGTCTCCGTGAGGGCAAATCAGCCTGATCCACAGGCCGAGCCGGGGCACTTACGCATCTTTTTGACAGTGATGGGGAGGCTGTAGTTGTAGGTGCTGCGCTTGGCCTTGACAGGCATATCACTCGGGGCGTAACCTGCAGACGAGGAAGGGCATGTCGGGTGCATGCGGGTGCAGGGCCCTCCTGGCCATCAGAAGTGGCTTTGCGCTAGTCGCACACCAGGGTTCGCTGGGGCCGGCTCCTGAGAAGGGGACTCCAGGCCCCCAGGCCCCAGGCCCCAGCGGCCACCCTTACGGCACCGACCACACAGGACCGTGTGCTGGCACTCTGCGTGCGCTGCCTCACTGCAGGCCTGGGGACCAGGCGGTATTGGGTGCCCGGCCCCTACCGCAGGAACCATAACAGGTGGAGGGACCGAGTGCATGAATAACAAGTTTAGCGGCTCGAAGGCCAATGGTGGAGCTGGGACCCAGGCTGGGATCCCCATCTCTCTGCTATTCTGCAGAGATCTCACCCAGGAGGAAAAGACTTTTTTATCTTCGCCATAGGGATACATTCCCATTACAGAAGAGAATGCTGTAGAAAAAGACATTGAGAGAGAGAAAGAAAACCAAGGTGTTAGTAATTTTTACCGTATTTCATTCCACAACGGATTCGGAAGTCAAGGACTTGATAAATTTTGGCATCTGGGTTTTTTCGGGGATCATACCCGTATCGGATCCACAGGCTTCTCCAGGGGCCTGTTATCTGGGGACAAAAGGCGGGAGTGTGGGGTGGGGCCAAGGCTGGTCCCTGGCTCCCTCAGAGATGTAGGCCTGGGGGGACATGAGTTGGGGACACAGCTCTGGACCCCCACCCCGGCTCTGCCGGGTACAGCTCTGTCACCTTGGGCAGGCCACTTGGTCTTCCTGTTCGAGAGGACAGGAGCCCCCTTTTCCATTGTTTCTGTGAGGATTAAATGAGATGATGACCCGGGAGCCTTCACCACGGTGCCTGGCACATAGTAAGTGCCCAATAAATGTTACTGCCATCCTAATGGACAGGATATACTGTCCCCAAACAGTACTCCTGAAGCCCTTATGTCTAGAAAGCCTATGCTAAAAGACAGACAGCCGCTCTCTGAAGTCTGGGGTCCAAGCACAGGAGGGATGAGCCTTCTTCGTGCCCCATCTGTCATCGCCGTTATGGTCACATCTCAGGCTTGCCTCCCAGTGCTCCATGTGGGGACCCTCGGCAGGTAGGACACCTTCCTCCGGCACCTTTGGCAACCTCAGTAATGACACCTCATCTCCGTGCCCTCCTGGACCGAGTCCAAGGTGGGTCTGCCCCACCCCCACCCCACTCTGCCCGGGTAGAATGAGCCAAGGCTGGGGGCCCTGTGGTTAGGGAGCCTGGTCTCTGCAGCCCAACAGGCTGGGGTCCCAGTGGCTGCGTCACGTGCTGGCTACAGGACCCTGGCACATCGAGGCACCTGTCTGAGCCTTGGCTCTGCCTCAGAGGAAGAAGGGAATCCTGTTGCCACCCCCCAGGGAAGAACAAAGGATGTAACAGGTACACAGCATTTAACCCAGCCCCTGGTCCTTAGAAGGTTCTCGATGTGAGATCGTTTAAAAGCATACAATCCCTTTATTCGGAAGTTATGCGATTACTCTCTAATCCTAAGATCGCCGAGGGACGGCCAGCATTGCTGAGGAGGCTGTAGGGGACCTGCCTGGGGCTGTAACAGGCCTCCCGGGGGCACCAGGACAGAGCCGCCAGCTTTGCCGTGGCTCTGGGAGGTCACAGCGGAGATCAGGGCAATCCTGGCGGGACCCAAGGTGCCAGGCTGGGCAGACACTCACCATGTAATAGGCCACGAAGGGCAGCAGAACCTTGAGCTTGTCAGGGTGGACGCTGATGTTGGCCTTGACAGCGTTACGTGACCAGATGGGACGGATTTCAAACAGCTGGGGGGGGGGGGTCAAGGCAGAGACCGGGATGAACACCAGCAGCCTCCCGCCCCTCCCCCCCACCGGCTCTGCCTCTCCGGACTGGCCCAGCCCCCAGCAGACCCTTTGGGGGAGGAGCTGGCAGAGAGCGGCTGCTGACAAGCACACGGCAGCCTTTGGGCCTGGCCGCACCCACTCACTGTCCCTGCCTTCACAGGTGGAGCCCCGCACACCCAGCACAGGTCAGGTGTGGCTGCAGGACCTCCGGACTTCCGTGTCCGGAAATGACCACGAAAGACACGGTCTCTGTCCTCATGCAGCTCACAGGGCAGTGGGGGAGGCAGATGAACAAAGAAGCCAGGGCAGGGCCAAGAGGGGGACACGCCAGTGTTCTGGGACCCCAAGCAGCTCCAGCCTAGAGGGCGGAGCCTGAGCTGGGCTATCGTAAAGGCCGAAGCGGACGGCCGGGCCCAAGAGAGGACCGCAGGAGGCCAGTGTGGCTGGTGCATGGCAGGGCCAGGGCTGGAAGCGCCCTATGCCAGGATGCGGATTGGACTGTGTCCAGAGAACACGGAAGGGCCTCGGACAGTGGTCCCCCAGGTACCGCCTCCAGCGACCAGTGACCGCTAGAAAGGTGTCCACACAGTCTCTTTAAGAAAAAAACCCCAAGGGAACAGTCTGCTTCAGCAAGGGAAGAGGTGAGCCTCGGCCAGCAGCAACGTGGTCTCACTGAGAACCTGCCATCTGTGCCTGTAGAGGCAGGAGTGAGAGGCCCCACGGCTCTCCCAGGACCTGCCAGCCAGGGGACGGGCAGAAGGCCACTCGGTCCCCTCCAGCATGCTGGGGATGAAGCACAGGAGGTGCTCCATGTGGTTTCTTGCTCCAACGATGCATGAGCAAAAGCTTCCCAAACCCAGGCTCCACTGTGAAGTCACAAGCAGACGATGTACCGATTGCTTAGCGCCCCCAAGGAACCGGCTTGTGCCGGCATGGCTTTGATGTGTGACATCTGGAGGTGAAAAGCTCCCACGTGCCGACGAACCGGTTTTAAAAAGTCAGCACAGCCGAAGGCAAAATGATGAGGGACGGAGGGGGGCCCGGCCGGGTTCCCGGGGGGTGGTCCATGCAGAGGCCGCCCCGAGCTCACCTTCCTCAGCTCCTCCTCCACCTTCCGGTCCACCGGGTTGGTGGAGATCCTCCTCCACGTCTGCACTGCAGCCTCCAGGGGCCGCACGGGCACCTCGTCCTCCTCAAAGTTGACGAAGATGGCATTGTGGGGGCGCCGGGCCCTGCTCAGGCCGATCAGGTTCTCGCCTGAGACGGGGGGGTTGTTGTAGCCTTCCCTGGGGCAGAGAGAGCTGGCGTGGGCCCGGGTGCCGAGGAGACCCCAGGCACGGGCCTGACCGGACCAGGCAGGGAGCCCCCCGGGCTGTGACGCCAGCCGCCTGCCCGTCAGGCAGAGCAGGGAGGTCAGGGAAAGGCGCGGCCACTCAGGACACGGCTGATCAGCTGTCAGGCAACAGCCACGCTTTTATGATTCGCTTATTTAACCCCAAAACAATTGCACGAGGAAGGAACCAGTTTCCTGCGAGGTAACCGACAGCAGCCAGAAAGCCGCCTGGAGTCAGAGCTCGTGTGGACAGAGCCGGGACTCCCACCCGGGGAGGCTGGCCAGGGGCCCGGTGACGCCTGTCTGCCTCCCTCCGAAAGAGCACGTTCGGCCCAGAAGCATCTCTGCAACAGGCAGGTGCAGGGAAGACGGACGTTACCGAACTACCATCATACAGCACAGAGGCTGGAAGCGAGTGAGCATTCTAACGCCACGTCTGCTCAGGTCTCTCGTTGGGCACCAGGCCCGGCTGTCGCTGAGGGGGGAGGTCACGAATGTCAAGCCTAGGCGAAAGCAGGGAGAACAGCCTCCAGAAGCCCCACAATCCATCACGAGCTCCAACAGTGACTGCCATCGCATCTGTACCTCACCCCAAACCCCGAGATTCTTCTGAAATGCATTTTAAAGTGGGCCTGGACATCATAGGTTTTCATTCAGGTGATTGCTACCTTTTAAATTTGTTTCCATCTTACCTTCATTTTCTACACGAGTACAAACCATCTGTATACTTACAAGGAACAAGGTGATTTTTCACACTGGAAAACACAATTACAAAGACGGGAGCAAGTCTGTGCCTTTTTTTGTAACATGGCTCCATTAGGAACCATCCTGAACAGGTACAACATTACCCGCTCTTCAAGGCTACCCCTCGAGACCCCGACCACTCCCAAGAGGGAAGGCACGGGTGGCGGCTCACTCCAGCCCTGGCAGCCCCCCGCCAGAGCACGGCAAGGAGCGGCTGCCCGCCGGGGCCCGTCAGCACAGGGAAAGGACTCCCTGCTAACTTCCTCAAGGACGAGGGACCCCCGTCAGGCCAGCCTTCCTCTGCCCGTCGTCCTGTAGGAAGCCGGACCTCCCTGGACCCACAGAGGGGCCAGCAGGGCAGAAAGATCGATGGGGGCCCTGGGAAGAAAGGCAGGTTCTTTCCATTTGCTGGAAAATCGATAAACCACATGGCGGCCAGCCTTCCTCCCTTATCACCCCGTCAGAAGCTTCAGAGCAGCTGCCTACTGGTCCTAGGGGACAGAGGGTGACTCAGCCACTGCCAGCCAGGGCCAGCAGTGCAGAGGGCCTATCCTCTTCTTCTGCGTATTTTGTCCGTCTCTGACTCTGAGAGTAAAATGCTTGTGGGATAAAAATAACCAGAGCATTTCAGAAATATGCACATGGTCTCTCCCCTAAAACTCCTGTGCCGAGGACAGCCGACTAGAACACACACACGGAAAACTCCATCATCCCATGTGGAGGGTCGCGGGCCGGGAGGGCGCGGCGGACCCTTTGCGCTTCCACGTTTCTGTCACGTTTTGCCCATCTAACCACCACTTGCTCCTGCGGTCAGGAGGGAGTGGGGGCTACGGATCCAACAGGCCGAGGGCCGCGAAGAGGCTGCCGCGTGGCCCGCTTCTGGCTGGGGAGACTGCGAGCAGACCGGTGCCGGAAGGTGCTGGGGAACATGGAAGGCTCCTCGCTCTGGTGACAGAGCGGCAGGTTCAACAGGGTCGTGTAAGAAAACAAGCCCCTCCCTGCAGGAGGCACGCAGGGTGCGTTCTCGAGGCCGCGCTGCCGGGCTGGGGCTCGGGCTCGGGCAAGCAGCAGACCGGTGCCAGCCGCTGAAGCTGCTGCCGCAGCCCGGCCTCCACTAGACAATTCTCACTACTTTGGGCTATGTCTGGAACTCTCCGTATTTTGTTAAAGGAAGAGAACATACCTTCTCCTTCGGACCAAATCTAGGCCCCTTACCATGGCCCATGAGACTCTCACCCCTACCACGCGCCCAGGCTCACTCTGCGACCACTCTGCATGTGCCAATCCTCTGTTCTAGAACGTTCTCCCCGGATCTTCACCTACCCAGCTGTGTCATCGCCCAGGTCTGTTTCAAATGTCAGCCCCTCTGGGGGCCCCCAGCCCTCAGCCCACTCACTGCCCCTTATGACCCACACCCCTTTGATCTCCTCTGAGACGTGCACCAGGCCACGGGCCCATTGCTCACTCATCATCTGCTTGTGTTCCATCCAGCTCCCGGCCCCGCCCAGCACAGGACCTTCTATGTGCTGTGCTGTTCTCGGCTGACGCTGACGCAGGCTCCGAGGAGCGCCCCGGGCCACAACAGGCAGTCAGTGCTTGTTGATGGCAAGAGTTAGTGAGGAAAGAACATTTTCTCACCTTCTAGAGATAACTGCTCTGGGCCCAATCTTCCAGATCTTTCTAGATTTCTATGATCATACCACAGCTTACTTTCATGCTATAGAACGTGCTCCTACGCCTGCTTTCTTCACAGAGCGAGGTACCCTGGGCAAGTGCCACGTCAGTCCACGAGCCTGCTGTCTGAGGCCACGTGGTGCTCCCTGGCACAGAAGGGCTGTGATTCCATTAGCCACCTCCCTACGAATGGACTGGTCACTTGCTTATTCTACCAAACTCTGCCAGGCACTCACCCTTCTAAGTGTTTCATGCTTTTGGGGATGGGACTTCAAGGCTGAGGGTGACATCCTGATTCACTCTCCATGGTGCGGGGAGTTCGGAGCGAGGCCTCCAGCTGGGGCACAGTCACCGGCTGCTCTGTGTCTCGAGGCACTGGAGCCACAGGCTTGAGCGAAGCCGGCAGTGCTGGCTGCCTGACCCGCGAGTGGCAGAGGTGAGCCTCAGACCCAGGCCCTGTGACCGCAGGGCCCTTGCTCTGAACCCTGATGCCGTAGTGGGGGTGGGGGTGGGGCTTACCGGTGCTGTGTCTCCGGTCGGTAGAAATAGTCCACCGGGGTGTCCAGCCGAGAGAAGATGGGCGGGGGGATGTAGAGCGGCAGCTCCTGGTGGAAGAAACTCTCCTTCTCAGGCTTTAGCATGAGCACTTTGTCATACATAGACACGCACCTGCCGCCCGCCTCCGTGTGCACAGCCAAGTACTGGAAGTCGGACATTCCTGGAAAGAGAGGGGGCCAGATGGCGGACACCCTCTTACCCCCTCCCAGGAACTGGCAGCTGCTACGCACCCACACCCACGTCTTCTCGGGAGGCGTCGAGGGAGCCGTGCGGTGGGCATTGCCAGGCAACGCTGGCGGGAGCCGAAAGGACACCCTTCCGGAAACTTCTGTGCACTTGACTCCGCGCACCTGGACTCACGTGGAGGAGCTGAGGGCTTATGTGGGACGCGAGGCTACGGTCTGGGTCAGTGCTTCCTGAAACGTAACGTGCACACGCCTCACGGGGGACCCTGCCGCAGGCTGCGGGATGCTGTACCTCCCACGAGCTCCCAGGTGGGGCGGTGCTGCTGTCTGGGACGCGCACTGAGCCGAGGGGTGCTGGCTCAAGTACACAGACAGAAGATGAATCACGGAAGACCGTGCCCCGGGAAGGACGGCCCTCTTCGGTGACTACCACGTTCCACCGGAAAGACTGACGTTCAGAACGCCCAACGCAGGGGTCCCAGGCCCTGGTTTCGTTTCTTGCCACTTTCTAGCCCCCTCTTCCTTCTCAGTCTTTATTCTGGTCAGATTCTCTCCTAGAACTGCGGCTGCAACCACACGCGCCTAAGGCTCGGCTAGTAACCTGCCAGGTGCCTCCTGTGCGCGCGAACCAGCCCCTTCACGGCACCCCTGACCCGGACCCTCCACAAGGGCCTAAGGAACCAGGGCCCCACGCTGTTCGGACGAGAGCCCGAGGCTGAGGGAAGCCAAGCTACCCACCCAACAGACTTGCTGTTCCTTACTTGCCCTCCTCATCCTATCCCTTACTGCCTCCTCACTGGGGCTCCCTATGGGTAGCAAACTGGATCGAGGGCCCCACGGGACACACCCAATTGGCCAAGAGTCCACAGAACATGAGGTCCCAAGGGGCTGAGGTGATCTGGGAGGGCTTCAGACAAGAGGCAAGCCCGGCAGGGGGTCAAGCCTTAGGGAAGTTTCCAAAACCCTGAGGGTCAAAAATTGGAGGCCTGCTAACCAGCTTTATTTGGCCCTACATAATGGCCTTAAAAATTAAAAGATTACTCATAGAATCGAGCTCTTCTTAAGAATGCAGAAGGTGAAACAGCAGTGAGCCCACAGTCCATGGCCTGCACTGTCCCGCTCCGCTCATGCCCCACCCGATTCCGGAGCATATATGGCCCTCTTCACTGTGTGGATGAGCCACAGAGTACCTGCAGGAGTGTGGGCACAGGTCCTGAAATAAGCCAACGCAGTAAGCTGCAGTTACCTTGAAATTTATAAACGGTGGAGATGATGCCAAGCATCTCTATGTCGAAGGTGACCTCGGGGTGGGCCCCGGGACCCGGCACCGCCCTCTGTCGCTTCGTCTTCCTCCTGATCCGCAGCAGCAGGCTGCTGGTACTGAAGCGGTTGGCGCATACCGGGTGACAGTAAGGGTCCTTGGGCCGGAAGTACAGCTCCAGCCTCTTGGTGGGGTCTGCGTAGATCTGTGGCAAAGGCCAAGGAAGACAGTGAAGCAGTGCCCGCCTACGCAGCTGGCAGGGAGCTGCTCCTGTCTCAACAAAAGCCTGACGGTGACCCAGCTGACGAGGGAAGGGCCAGGAGGCTGATGTTTCGTTCTGAGCTTTTAGTTCTCAGAAGACCCATTTTTCAAATCCAGGTATCTGTTTTTTACGTAGGAGAGAAAATGAGGATCGTCTCTCCCTTCTGAGAGGCTGGAAAGTTGGAGATAATAACTACCAGTTAAGTGAAGCCATCACCTCGCAGATGCCTGTTTGGTGTGGGCAGTCACGCACCTCTCCCAGCAAGACTGCGGCGGGGGGTGAGGGGGTGTCTTCTCATCCCTGAGTTTACCATGGAGGAACTGAGGTTGGCAGGGGGAGTGGCTTGTCTTGACCTTCCCACTCCAGGAACTACCTGCTCCAAAGGGTCCTGCCATTCAGACTTCCGTGCAAATGTTTCCAAGTCCGAAGGAAATGGAATCAACTAGGAACAAGCACGGGTATGGCTAAGTATCACTCCTCCTTTTGAAGTCTTGGTTCGTTCTCCTTAAAACGAGGTACTAACAGCACCCCCTCGCAGGACTGCTGTATGCAGACGTATGCAGCACACTCAGTCTGCTAAGTCATGGTAACCACTCGGCACGTGTCGCCCACATAGGGTAAGAGTAGTGTCAGCTGTGTGCGTATGAAAACACCAATGATGCTCACTGAGCCCAGACCATCTGCTCTCTAGTTTGCTGGCTCCCCAACACTAAGGACACAGCCTGGCCCTTAGGAGGTGCTCAGGAAACGTGGAGGGAAAGAAGGTTAACAGGAGGCCCAACCCTCAGGAATCCCTTCTCGCCAAACACTGGCCTATGAGACCACGAGGCCGGGAATAACCCCAGACATGGATCTGGCAGAGGACGTGCACAAGAAGCACTGACAGAATGAACCAATGACCAGTGTCTTCTCAAAGGCTCTCATTGTAATTGGGTACAAATATCCCTGAGGTTACTGACAGTAAGGATTCTGTCGGTACCACAGTAAAGTCAATAAATCAGGATCAAACAGCAAAACGTGACTAACAGCCTCTATGGCATCCTGTGCTTAATGACAGGTTTTCAATATTCATTAAGGAGGAGGAAGCAGCAGGTAAGAATTCAGACTTCAGAGGGCAGAAATGCATGAGTTCAAACCCCCACTGCACCACGCGGGAGTTTTTTGACCCAGCTTTTCTTACCTGGTATCTTTATCTGAAAAGTGGGAATAATGGTACCTAACTCCCTGGATTGTTGTGAGGATTCAATCACGCATCTGACAAGTATTTTGGAAGAAGGCACTGTTATGGATGTTAGGACTATGGAAGTAAACAAGAGAGACCAAGTCCTGCTCTCATGCAGTTTACAGTCTCAGAGCCAAGCGACCAAGACGGACAATAAACGCGTTAAAACACAATTTCAGACTGCAATTAACAGACTGAAGGGGCAGGTATGAACTACTAAGGCCACTTTAATTAGGGCAGAGAAGGACTCTCTACAGAAGAGACATGTCAATATTTGGTGCACGGAAAAGCACTTCCCCGGAGCCTTGCACAAGGCAAGAATTCATCCCAGCTCCCTTATTTTCCTGCAGACCTTGAACAAATTGCCTCGGTTTCCTTGTAAAATGCGGACGTCAGTGGCTACTGGGCAGGGTTCTAATTTGGATCAGATGTCAGTAAAGCACCTGGAACTGAGCCTGATACCGAAGAAGTTGCTAGCCATTACTATCTTTAACCCTAACCACACACTTCATCCCCTGTCCCGTTGGCCAGCGGTCTTGATCCGCAGCGCTTGGGTCTTCTCTGTGAATGAGAACAGGGCAGCCCAGCACACCGCGGGGGCTGCAGCTGAGCTGCGCTCGGGCTGCGCCGCCGAGGCTGCGGCTCCGGGAGGAGGGGACGGAAAAGACACCCCGCCCCTCTCGGGGTCTCCCGTCGCTCCCGCCACTCCAAGGCAAGTCCCCGCCCACTGGCCGCCCAGCGCCCTGCTCAAGCGCCGTTACCAAGGAAACCACACTTCCCTGGGCGGTCCCTCCCGCCGAGGTCCCGCGACTCCGCCCCCCCCCCGGCGCGATTCCCCCTCCCACCCCAGCTTCTCACCCGGGAGACGCCCTCCTCGCCGCCCAGAGTCGGCAGCATCTTGGACACGTCGCGCACCACGCCTGGGTACTCCACGCACACCATGCGTCGCTCGCGCCGCAGGTCCACGGGGACCGCGGTCCCTGGCCCCGCGTCCGCAGCCGCCATCCCTGCACGTCTGGTCCGGCTCGTCGCGGTCCGGCCCTCCACGCGTTCCTAGGGGCCTGTCGCAGTGGTTCCGCCAAAGAATTGTTCCGGGTTCCCTCGCTGCTCGCGTCTCTCTACATCCCTGGGCTTAGCGAGACTCGAGGCCTCTGGGAGCGAAGGCCCGAGGGGAGGCCCCAAGGTTTCGGGGTGATCGACCGCCTGGTCCTCAATTCTGTGATTAAAATGATGAGGGTACCCCGAGGGGCGGGACGACGGTTTGCCGCTCCCAGCAACCCAAGTGGGACTCGGACTGTAAGACACCGCCCAGTTCTCGCTTTTAGCCAATGAAGCGTCAGGGGGAAGCCAGCTTCCGCCCCTTCTACTAGCTCTTAGGTTTCACCCAATGAAGAGCCAGAACTGGGCCGGGTCCCCGTCCCTTCCTAGGGCTCCTTCCAATGACGGCTAGGGGGCGGGCCCGAGGCAGACTTCCGGCCCGCCTTCCGGCGACGGACAGTCCCTGCGCTGAGTAGATTTCCGGGCTGGAGCGCGGAGGGGTTTTCGTGGGGTCCGGCGCCCGCTCCTGCCGGCTGCTCCGGGGAGGAGTCTCCGGCGGCGGGGGGAGGTGGACCTGGAAGTGCCAGCGTGAAGACATTGCGCTTTGAAAGCTCTCCTCACGTCCACGCACAGAAAAACCCCGGAGCTCGGGTCGGAAAGCGGCGTGAAGTCCCTCGTTTCGTAGTTATTAAGCGCCTACCGTGTGCTGGGAACTACTCAGAACCTAACAGAGGAGCGGAGCATGAAGTGAGCGGCCCTGTGGCAGACCCTGAAGCGAGGGGCATGGCCCATTCCAGGAAGTGACAGAGGACAAAACTGTAGGGAGCAGACTGGGGGACATTGAGGGAGGGGTCAGAGGTCGACATATGCCAGACAGAGCCTAAAAATGTGTGCGTCCAACCTGTCGGCTCTTTCTGAGTGCGATGTTGAAGCGTTGAAGGGTTTTATACCGGGAGTGGCTTGATCTGACTTGTGCATGTAAAAGACTCTAGCTGTGGTGTAGACAATGGATCAGAGAGGGCAGAAGCCCGCGCAGATAAACCCACTGAGACGCTGCATAATCCAGGCAAGAGATGCTGCCCGGGGCCAGGGAAGTGGCAGTGAGAATGGGAAGAAGGGGCTGGATTTGCGAATATTAGGAGGAATTAAAAAAAAAAAAGCAGGGGACCCCTTGGATGTGGGTACCCTAGGTTTCTGAAATGATTCTTAAATCAAACGGAGATTTACTTCATTGCTCTAGAGGATGTAAGGAGGCTGCATAAACGGCTGCAAAGGCCATTAAATGTATTTTAAAAAGAAAAACCTGTAAGCTGTGTGTGAAATATATGTCATTATATTATAATTGGAAGACCCAGCCAGGAGTCCCCTAAAATGAAAGAAAGGCCCCCGCATGTGAGGGCTTGGCAGTCCCTGACCTGCCTCTCTGGCAGGAACTGGTGCATTTGCTATCACCAAAGAAGATTCAGCGCAGTGAGGCTGGGACAATCCTCCATATTTGTTTCACGCCTTGAGATGCAATTTCATTCAAGGTTTTCGCGTCCTTTTGTTCTCATTCCATGTTCACCAAGCAGTTTTCTGGTGGTTTGTTCCATTTTCCAGAAGGGAGACGCTAAATGGCATATGGATTGAACCCCTCCCTACAATTGTAAATGAATACATTGGTGTGTTATATCAGACTCCCATGCGTTTGGTACCCATGAGTCAATACTGAGTCCTGGCTGGGGAGCCCCTTCTACGGGGAGCCCTGGGCTTGGGAGGTTATTGATTCTGTGTTAGCGAAGGGCATGGAGGGCTTTGGAAAATGTTTTCTGTGGGCCCCCGAATCAATATTCCTTTCCGGGCCGCTGGGTCGGTCTGGGAAGCGCACAGGTGTTTAAACTCCTCTCCAGCGGGGGCTGGATTCTCCCTACGCCCTTAGAATTGGAGAGAAGTAGTGTTCACTTTTGACCACCCGATGGCGACAGAGCGTCCTCGCAGGCAACGTCGCCACCTGGTGGTCATCGGTGCCCATGACACCCGGAAGAAGGGGAAGTGGCCGCCGAAGGAAGAGAGATGGGCTGTGAGCGCAGGGAACAGAGCTTCCCAGGAGTCCTGTGCTGAGCCGCCGGGGTCAGCAGCTTCCGATCACGTCCGACCGCAGGGACGCCACGCCCCTTCTACACCCTTGCACGCGCTCCCCAGTGCAGGAATTTCCCCGCACAATCCCACCGCTGCAACCGATGGGGACCCGGGAAGTAGGGTTTATTCAGAGACTTCAGTTTTCTTTTCAGCTGAAAGTGGAACCCACTGTCGCCAGGAGCCTTCCCCTCCCTAGGCAGCTTGTCGTCCCAAAGCAAAGTTAAATACAGGACTGAACTTCAAAGGTCGTTCGTAAATGGAGTTTAGGTTGCCAAGTTAAATAGTTTCACAAATGTGCCAGGCAGAGGCAAATTTACAATGACACTAATAAAATTTAAATATCAGGGTCTATGTCGTACCACCCTGAACGGGCGGGATCAGGTCTGATCTTGGAAGCTAAGCAAGGTCGGGCCTGGTTAGCACCCGGATGGGAGACATCAGGGCCCCTCGATTGCAGGTACCTTTTCGCAAGGCTCTGGGAGGTGCCTTATCATTGTGTTCACGTGGGCGTTTGTTTTTATAAAAATTAAAACAGTAAGATATTTTAACTGCAATCGGTTAAGACTACTGTCTCTTTCTACCTACCCTGCCCTCCATCCCACTTGCCCTTGTGTTGGGACAAATTGAAGTGGTCACAGGTACTTAAGGGACTTGAGAAAGGGGAAGTCCCATTGGGAGTACGTTCAGTGTGGATTGCGTGGAATACATATGCGTGGTCCGTAGTCGCATCTGGGTACAGTTCATCTGTCGCCGGCCGTCCTATGTAGGAATGGCTTCCAGGCATACACACTCTAGCACCTTCCGTGACACCTACCTGGTATGTTGTGATACGAAGGTCCAGGGCCAAAGGTAGTCTAGCAGTCAGAGCCAGAAGCCAGTCTGGAAGATTCCAGCAGAGGAATGGAAAATGTGCAGCCACTGTGGGCGAAAGTATGGCAGGGTCTCAAAAAATTAAATGTCAAATGACCATATAATCCACAATCCCACTTCTGAGTAAATATCCGAAGGAATTAAGTTTTTTAAAGTTTTATTTCTTTTTGAGACAGGCAGGGGCAGAGAGAGAGGAAGACACAGAATCCGAAGGCTCCAGGCTCTGAGTTGTCAGCACAGAGCCTGATGTGGGGCTCGAACTCATGCACCGTGAGATCATGACCTGAGCTGAAGTCGGATGCCTAAGTGACTGAGTGCCCCCAAAGGAATTAAAAGCAGAGTCTTGAATGGGTCACCAGGGTGGCTCAGTCAGTTGAGTGTCCGTCCGCCTCTTGATTTCAGCTTAGGTCATGATCTCACGGTTCATGAGTTTGAGCCTTGAATCAGGCTCTGCGCTGACAGAATCCCTGGTTGGGATTCTCTCTCTCCCTCTCTCTCTCTGTTCCTCCCCTGCTCATGCTCTCTGCCTCTCAAAATAAATAAATAACCTTTAAAGAAAAAAAAAAAAAAAAAAAAAAAAAAAAGCAGAGGGGCTCCTGGGTGGCTCAGTCGGTTGAGCGTCCGACTTCGGCTCAGGTCATAATCTCGCGGTCTGTGGGTTCGAGCCCCGCGTCGGGCTCCGTGCTGACAGCTCGGAGCCTGGAGCCTGCTTCGGATTCTGTGTCTCCCTCTCTGTCCAGCCCTCCCCCATTTGCGGTCTGTCTCTGTCTTTCAAAAATGAATACATGTTAAACAAAATTCTTTTTAAACGTCCAAAATGCAGAAGCAATCCAAGTGTCCATCAACAGATGATGGGTGAGCAAAATGTGGTCCACCCCTACGATGGAACATTAGCCTTAAAAAAGCAAGGAAATTCTGACACGTGCTACAACATAAACGAACCCTGGGAATGTTCTGCCATGTGAAAGAAGCCAGTGACAAAAAGACCAAAGCTGTCTAATTCCACTGACCTGAAGTACCTAGAACAGTCGAGTTCATAGATCCAGAGAGTAGATCATTGGATGCCAGGGGCTGTGGGAGCAGAGCAAGTGGGGAGCCAGTGTTTCATGGATCTAGGGTTTCAGTTTGCAAGATGAAAAGGTTCTGACGGTGGTGATGGCTGCACAACGCTGTGCGTGTACTTAACGCTACCGAACTGTGCCCTTAAAAATGGTTAAGATGGGGGCATCTGGGTGGGTAAGTGTCCAGCCTCAGCTCAGGTCGTGATCTCATGGTTCCTGGGTGCGAGCCCCGCATCGGGCTGTGCACTGACAGTGTAGAGCACTGCTCGGGATGCTCTCTCCCTCTCTCTCTCTCTCTCTCTGTTCCTCCCCAACTCGCACTTTCTCTCTCTGAAAATCAGTAAATAAACTTAAAAACATTTTTTTTTTCCAGTGGTGAAGATGGTAACTTTTATGTCATGTGTGTTTCACCACATTTTAAAAATGATGGGAGGGGGGCGCCTGGGTGGCGCAGTCGGTTAAGCGTCCCACTTCGGCCAGGTCACGATCTCGCGGTCCGGGAGTTCGAGCCCCGCGTCGGGCTCTGGGCTGATGGCTCGGAGCCTGGAGCCTGTTTCCGATTCTGTGTCTCCCTCTCTCTCTGCCCCTCCCCCGTTCATGCTCTGTCTCTCTCTGTCCCAAAAATAAATAAAAACGTTGAAAAAAAAATTAAAAAAAAAAATGATGGGAGGCAGAGAAGTTGGTTCTCGTCAACACTTAGAGTGGAAGTTCTTTATCAAAATGTGATAATACGGGGGCACCTGGGTGGTGGCTCAGTGGGTTAAGCGCCCAACTTTTGATTTGGGCTTGGGCCATGATCTCAGTTCATGGGTTCGAGCCCCACATCGGGCTCTCTGCCATCAGCACGGATTCCACTTCAGATCCTCTGTTTCCCCCTCTCTCTGCCCCTTCTCCCCAGAATAAATAATAAAATAAATCTTTTAAAATGAAATTTATTGGGACTTGTTTTATGGTCAGCCTTGTGAAGTGTTCCAGGTACATCCAAAAAGAACGTGTCAGGTACGATGTCCTCGATCCTTCCTGGGGCGCATGCGTGCACACGTGTGTGTGAGTCTGCTCAGTCTATAAGAGAAACGTTACCACCTCCCACTGCAGTCGTGACCTCGCCTATTCTCTCAGATTTGTCAATCTTGCTTTGTTTCTTTCTTTTTCTATTCTTTTTAAGCAGGCTCCACACCCAGCATGTGAGTAGAACTCACAACTCTGAGATCAAGACCCGAGCTGAGATCAGGAGTCTGGCACTCAACTGACCGAGCCAGCCAGGCGCCCCGATTTTGTTTCTAATTGAGGTCCGCGCTGCGGTGTGTATACAAACTTAGCAATGGCCCTGCAGTCCTCCCGAAATGTTTCTCTTCCTCTCTAGGAAGGCCTGAATCGTGTGATACTGACATCACTACAGGAGATGTGTTTTGGTTAGTGTTTCCCTGGTATATATCATTTTCTATCACTTCTGGTCTCTCTGCTTGCTTAGATTTTGTGTGTCTTTGTAAACAGGATATAGCTCTGGTCTTCCAGTATCCTTGGTCTTTGGACTGGAGTGTTTAATGGTTTTATATTTAATGCAATGCTGATAAATTTGGGTGTACATCTTTTATATTCCTATTTTTTTAATTTGTCCTGCCTGTTCCGTGTCTTCCCGTCCCCTTTCACTTCCTCTTTTACACTCATAGTTTATTATTCTGTTTTCCCTCTATTACATAGTTGGGCACACTTTTCCTGGTCACCGTAGAGATTGTGGTGTGAATCCTTGTTCTATGAAAGCCAAATGTAAATTGATACTTTCCCCACTTCCTTAGGAACGCAAAGACCCATTCAGACCCCTCTTGCCTTTTACACTATTGTCATCCCGTCGTAATATGCACATATTTTTAATATATTGCATACAAAAATATATAATGTGTAAGTATTCTCTATTAAAAACACATACGTACTTTTAAATCAGCTGTCTGGGGGTATAATTTATATGCAATGAAACAGACCCGGTTTAAGTAGTTCAGTATAGTCACAAATATGCGAATGCAATCACCACCCCAGTCGCGACAGAGAATATTCCAATCACCCCAAGAATTTTCTGGTTCTCTTTGTAGTGACTCACCCCACCAACGGGGCAGGGAAACCAGACTGGGGCCCAAGGGCTCCGGGAGGTAGGCAAGCCCAGGGTGGTGCTCGAAACTGCCCTCCCCCCAGACCACCCACGGGGGGAAATTTCTCCACGAAGGAGGCGGAGGGGGTCCTGGACAGTCAAGGAGAGAAGAGACCGATGATACCCAAATTGGATTCCTCTGTCTCTCCACAAACCTCTTTCCCCCCAACCTCCTCCTTCAGGATTCCCTTCTCAGGAATGGAAACACCAGCAATTTGGGTGTCACTGTGGGTTCCCCACGCTCCCTGGTCCCCCAGTCCGTCCACTGCCATGTGGTCCACTCCATCCCCTAAATCAGGGGTCCATCGTCTCCCACCGCTTCTATCACCCCATTCAGCTCACATCACCTCTCAGCGTTAGCCCTGTGAACAGCTTCTAACTGGCCCCTGACATTTTTCCTGCAGGGGGTTGGGCAATAATACGCATCGTTCAAACCTACAAGGAAACAAAACCTACAAGGAAAAGCCAGCTCCCAACTCCTTTCTCCAATCACTAAGATCATCTTTTCTCTCGAGGTGACTAATGTTATCAGTTTCTCGTTTATCTCTCTGGAAATAATCTGCATGGTCGTAAGCAAAACTGTATATGCATATGTGTATATGTATATACATATATATACGTAGTCTCCACCCCCTTTAAAATGTGAACAGCTAACCCACAAATGGGCTATTATTCTGTTTTCCCCCCTAATAAATAGTTGCACATACTTTTACTGGCTTCCCTGGAGAGATAATAGGACTCCTCGATCTGTTAAAGTCAACTATAAATTAGTTGACCATAAATGGTAGCTCGCTCTACACTCCCCTCCGTACCTTCCTTTTTCACTTGGCAATGTATCATGGAAATGACTCCACATCAATTCACACAGCGCTTCCTCCTTTTTCTGAACAGACGCCCACTATTCCACTGTAAGGTTGGCCCATGATTTATTCCACTGACCCTCTTTGAGGGATACTTAGGTTGTTTCCAACCTTTTGCAAATAACAGCGTAGCAATGAATCACTGCTGTGTGTCGTTTCTCACACACGGGCTGGAGGTCTGTAAGAGACTGCTGGGTCAAAGGGCACGTGCACCTGTGATTTTGTGGGACGTCACCAAATGGTTCCCCATCAGGGCCTGCGCCCTTTGTAATCTGTCTCCGGGTGAGGCCAGGAGGCTGTGTCCGGGTCACGGGGCACTCCCCAGCACCCGCCTGCCAGGGTTCCTTAGACCTGGAGGCTGCTTCATCTTGAGGGGCTGCGGGGACCCCCCCCCTTGGACAGCCTCACCTCCCTCAGCCTCAGGGCGGCACCACCTTCTCCCTGCAGAAGCCAGGGGGCGCTGTTTCCCCTGGATCGCAAATCCAGTCCCTCCCCGCCGGGCCGCCTCAGTACCTGGCGTGGCTCCCTATTGACGGAGCGTCTGGGGGTCCAGCTCCCCCTGGCTCTCCTGCCTCCTTCCAACCACACACATTTTGCCCACCCCAACCCCCCAACTCCTGGCCCCCGTCCCCGGGCCTCCTTGCCTTTGCTCTCCCTTCCCCTTCAGCTGGGGGTGACCTCTGAGAAGGGGTGTCTGCCTCACACTTTGAAAGCCCCCCACGTGTGGCACCCCAGCCTGACTGTTGGGGGCTGGGTCTCCTTGGCCAGTTTCACGGGCAGACAGACACCTAGTCGGGTGAGGACGAGCAGAGGAACACCTCAGCAAGTGAAGGGGGACCACCCCGAGCCTGGCCAGTCTAGGGGGTCAGGGACCCTGAGAAGCAGGGAGGGATGACCCGTGCGGTCACATACATACAAGGAGGAAGGAAGAAGGTGGGGAGCGAGGAGAGCAGGGCAAGAAAGGGCGAGGGGGCGCAGGGAGGTGAAGGGGGAGACACAACAGCCAGACCTGCGCGTCCCAGGAGAGAGCAGCAGAATCAGGACGCCCCTCAATTCCGTGGGCAGGGCTTGCCTTCAGCTTAGAAAGACGGGGAAGAGGTTCTTCAAAGTTCTACTTTGGACAAGCCTGTGCCTCAGTGCCACTGCTGGGAGGGATATGTGGCCCCGTTAGGCTATCTACGCGCGAAGTGCTTAGCGTGGACAAAGGGTGCCATTCGGCCGATCAGATCAGCTGGTGGGTTGAGAGGGTTCTTCTGTCTTCCCCAAGGGTGGAGATGCTGCCCTCCAGGTGCAGCCCTGGGCTGGGTCCCCCGTATCCTCTCGTTGACATGGGGGAGGGAGGGATAGGTCCGCAACCCACACAGGCTCAGGTTGAGGGGCAAAGGATTAGGAAGTGTCCCTTCACCCTCAGCCTTACCTGTCTCAAGCTTTGAGCACTCATTGTGCATCAGCCCCTTTGGGGGGGGGGGTGGAGGGCCAGGCCCGTTAATTTGTTTGCCCACCCATCCACCCACCCACTGAAAGTATTTCTTTGCTAAGTGCTGGGACGCTATGAGACCTGCATAGACTGTGCTCGGTCAGTGGCACACGTAGCTATTTAGTGACAGTTGTGATCGGCATCCAGATGGGGCCGTTGCTGGGGGTCTGTAACTATGAGGCATGTCTCTTACAGGGTACAATGGGGGTAGAATGAAGAAAGCGCGAGTCTGGTGAAGAACTGAGGGGACCCCCCCCTCCCAGGCAGCGGGAACAGCGCTCCAGGAGGCCCAGAGGCAGGCAAAGCCAGTCTGGCAGAAAGAGGAGAAGGACGCGGGGATTCCGGTGCTGCTCTCTGCTCAGTACTCAGCTGCTGACCCCCAAGAGAAGCTGGTCTCCCCGCAGCTTCTCCCGCAGCCCCGCAGCTCCCTCCCTGCTCCAGCCCAGAGCAGGGCCCCCTTGCTCTGTTGGCCCGCCTGGAGGGGCCTCTCCACGGACTGCGAGCCATTTGGGGCCGGGCTCTGGTTCCCGAGCCTCTGTTCAGCAAATACCAAGGCCACCCTGCAACCACCAGCTTTGTTTCTGGTGTTAAAATATACGTAATGCGGGCCCCTGGGTGGCTCAGTCGGTTGAGCGTCAGACTTCGGCTCAGGTCGTGATCTCATGGTCTGTGGGTTCAAGCCCCGCGTCGGGCTCTGTGCTGACGGCTCGGAGCCTGGAGCCTGCTTCGGATTCTGTGTCTCCCTTTCTCTGCTCCTCCCCTGCTCATGCTCTGTCTCTTCCTGTCTCTCAAAAATCAATAAGCGTTTAAAAAAAAAAAAAAAAT